GTATTCGAAAACCCCTTACAAAAAACGGGACGAAGTGCACACGCGCGCGTCGTCGCGCGTGCATGCCGACATCCTTCAAAAACCTACGGTTTTGGAATACTTCCAACATCGAGTTTCCAAAACACATATAAACAATAAGGGTTTCGCAACACGGATTTTCTAAAAAAGCTTACGCGCGCGCTCTTGCGAAGTCTTAAGAAAACCATTTTTTTTTTTTTTTTTTTTTTTTTTTTTTTTTTTTTTTTTTTTTTTTTTTTTTTCAAAGTTTCCAGACAAAAAAACTACCACACGAGCTTCGCGCGCGCATGCCGAAATCGTTCGAACTCCCTTGCGCGCGTGCCGTGGCGAGAATCCTCTGCAACAGATGGGACGAAGTGCGCGCGCGCGCGTCGTCGCGCGCGCATGCCGGAATCCTTCAAAAACCTTCGGTTTCGGAAGGATTTCAACATCGAGTTTCCAAACAAACATACAACAACAAAGGGTTTCGCAACACTGATTTTCAACAAAAGCGTGCACGCGCGCTCTTGCGTCGTCGTTGTCGTCGTTGTCGTCGTCGTCGTCGTTGCCGTCCTCCCTCCTCCCTCGTCGTCGTCGTCGTCGTCGCCGTCGTCGACCTCTGTCTTTCCTCGTCGTCGTCGTCGTCGTCGTTTCCGTCGTCGTTGTCGTCGGCAAAAAAAAGTGGTCGTCCTTGATCCCTCCCTCGTCGTCGTCGTCGTCGTCCGTCGTCGGCGCCTCGTCGTCGTCCCTCCTATTTCGTCGACGTGCGCACGCGCTCTTGCGTAGTCGTCGTCGTCGTCGCCGTCCCTCCTCCCTCGTCGTCGTCGTCGTCGTCGCCGTCGTCGTCCTCTGTCTTTCCTCGTCGTCGTCGTCGTCGTCGTCGTCCTCTTTGGCGTCGTCGTCGTTTCCGTCGTCGTTGTCGCCGTGGTCGTCTTTGATCCCTCCCTCGTCGTCGTCGTCGTCCGTCGTCGGCGTCTCGTCGTCGTCCCTCCCATTTCATCGCCGTCGTCGTCGTCGTGGTCGTCGTCGTCGCCGTCCCTCCTCCCTCGTCGTCGTCGTCGTCGTCGGCGTCGCCGTCCTCCCTCCGTTTTCGTCGTTCGCGTCGTCGCCGTCCTCTCTCCTCCCTCGTCGTTGTCGTCGTTGTCGTCGTTGTCGCCGTCGTCGTCCTCCCTCCTCCCTCGTCGTCGTCGTCGTCGTCGTTTTCGTTGGCGACGTCGTCGTCGTCGTCTTTGTCGCCGTCGTCGTCGTCGTCGTCGTCGTCGTTGTCGTCGTCGGCGTCGTTGTCATCGTCGTCGGCGTCGTCGTCGTCGGCGTCGTCGTCGTCGGCGTCGTCGTCGTCCTCGTCGTTGCCGTCGGCGTCGGCGTCGTCGTCGGCATCGTCGTCGTCGGTGTCGTCGTCGTCGTC